CCTATGTATAAATGCTGAAGTTTGAAATACGGATTGTGTTCAGCTGGAAATCCAGAAGGTAAAGTTTGGAAGTGTAATTTTGACGTTAATAGTTTTACTACTACTCCATTTTATCCACTCAGCAAAAGGTCCTTGATGTCAAAGGTGATGTGCAGCACCCATGAAGAAAGAACTCTGTCCAAAAATAACAGTATCCTGGTCGCATCCAAGGAAATTCTGATAAGGAATAGCTTTTTTCCAGAGATACTTTAATGTGCTGTTTCTCTGCTCTGCTGTTTTGCCTTTCATAAAGAAAAATATAGTTGCTGAAATTGTTGCGTTTATATCATGGCTGTTGGAGTTTCACCCATAGTGAGGTAAAGAGTCAGACTTGAAATCCAAGCGAAGACTGTAGCTGAGTCAGGTGTTCCTTGTGTGGCTGTCCGAGGAGGAAAGGAGTCCTCCAAGAGGACAAGAGCTCCATCTGTTCTGTCTGCCTGGGGCTGAGTTCTGGGCAGGTGTGAGAGGAGCTGATAACGGAGCGTTGCAGAGCAGTGGGCTGTCCCCAGCCCTGCTGTCACCTTGGGGTTCAGCCTGACACCACTGCAGGGCATGATGGAGCTTCTGAAGCGCTGAGTAGTGCTGGACAAACACTGAATATTTTCCAGGTACACCTGGTGTTTTCTGTAGTGAGAGTCCTGACAAGATAAGCTTTATTACCCTCTTTTCTTTTTTCTGCCTTTTTTTTCTTTTTTTTTTTTTTTTTCTTTCTATTCCAGCCTGCTCTTATATTCCTCATAGAGGTACTAGCTGCATCTTTTAATGTTATTTTACCTTTGGGCTAAGTTTCTAGTTTTTAGAACAAATCTAGTGACAGTTTTGCTATCTGATTTGTTTTAAATATATCCTTGTTGCTCTCATTTGAACATCAGTCCTGCCTGGAAAAGACGGTTCTTTTTCAAGATATGACTGCACACATGTGGCTCCCTGGTGGGCAAAAATCCAAGCATTTATGCACTCTAGCAAAAATTCATAGAGAACCAAGAAAGTTGGTGAGAGACACTCACTGTAGGGAGAAGAATGGGCCCAGAAGTATTTTTGTAGTCCATGCCGTAGACTTCCTGTTCAGCTGATGGAGAAGACACGTATGCAAGGCTGAGCAAAAAATCTTAGGACATCAACATATGATTAGGAAGTTAAACATTTGTTCATTTTTCATTCAAAGCTGGTCCCACTTTTATTTTTCATCACTCTGGTTTTTATTATAGACAGACATTCTTTTGATGTTATGAGAATGACTATATTTGTTGTCTTTTCATCAGTGAATCAAGATTCTTCCAATTTCTGCTGTAGAAGGAGCTAATTTATCAAATTTGGCTCCACTTTCCAGTAATTTTGCATTGCTTTTTCCTTTATTGTGTGGATTTACAAAGTAGTTTTTATTCTGTATTTCCTATTTAATTCTGCATAAAGGAAAACTTTGAATGTTCTGGGATTTCAGAGCCATGTTGCTGTAAAAGTTGTTTTCTTTTTTTGAGATAGAAATGTGCTGACAAAAGAACAGATGTTGTTATATTGTTAGAATATCCTACAGTGCTCTCTACTGGAAGAGCGAAAGTCCAAGAATTATATTAACTGTAGCAATAGTATTAGCTCAGCTCTCAAAGACAACTGTATATGGTGGTTATACTATTATATAGCAGAAAACTTTTGACAGTGGTGGTTTACCTTTTTCATGCCACAGCCTTACTGGTTTATTTTTATGTGTATGTGAGAGAAAAACAGGTATTCCAGAGGCCATGATGAAATGGCCATCTCCACATTTCATGAGGAAGACAAATTAATTCTTTAATTTCATCTCTTTGAGTGTCATCAAAAACCCCTGTTTGACAGAAATATTTTTTTTTTTTTTTTTTAGCTTAGTTGATACAGGTAATGTCATAGTAATTGGTATCTTATATAAAGCAGTGTGATGACTGGGCAAATGAAATAGGAGAAATGTTGAGAACAGGTGAAACAGCAAGTAATAAAAAGATGCCATTTAATTTCAGCTGGATTATTGTATTGTAATTTCAAAATTGTCTCAATGGAAATTCTGTTAATTTGGGCAAAAAAAATGGGTCAAATATATTTAGAATATTTTTTCCCTCATTATTGTTATTTTTCTATTTATTGCTATTTTTTACAGGAAGAACAAATGGGAAGGTTAACTTGTAAAGGTCGGTGATAAAATATAAGAACATTGTAATAACCAGTTATAGCTAAAATTTGAGCTTACCTGGGTAAAACAGAATTGAACTTAACTGATACATTGTGTCAAATACAGGCAATTCAGTCCATGGCATGCATCACCTTTGCGTCATATTGACAATTATGCTACAAATTCTTTTGTATTTATAGAATACATCTTACTGTCTTTTCCCATGCCGCATACTTTTAAAGATAAGCTCTGATTACACATCCAGTACAAGATTGCAGAGTCCAATAAAAATTGCAAAGCAATGCTAAATGTAAAAACCAAACCTCATCTGGAGAGCACTGAACAGCAAATGATTGGTAGACTTGTGGTTAGTTAATAAAAATTTCGTCAATACTGTTATAACTCTCGTGATATTTCCATATACTTCAGACTTTTTTTTCTTTTTTGTAACTATTTTAGTAATCCAAATTCTCATATATTTCTTCAGGCATTGTCAGACATTTAATCTTGTGCTTTCAGTAGTTCATCTTTGCTTTTAGATAACTGTTCCCCCTATGGGTATCCTGTAATTGGCAGGGATTTTATGTAAAGAGCACTAAAGTGTTAATTTTTAATTTTGAGTGCATTATTATGGGTTTAAAAATTCACCAAAATTTAGTGGGTAGCTCAGCTGTGTCAGAAGCTTCATTTGGTGCTTATACGCTTTTAGGCAGCAAAATTAATGGGAGGTCCATGCCCCAGGAAAACAGTCTTTATGGAGACTGCTGATCATAGAAAGCTTGATGTATTCCTTGGGTTTATTGGCTGAAGAGACTTGTTTCCATCTTGCTCATGCCTCAGATCAGAGGGACATACCTGAGAAGGAGGGAAAGGGAAGCGATTCTCCTGCTTTTTAGCCATTTTATTCCCTTGGACGCCTTATTTATCTGGCTCATCTGCATGGAAGTAGGTAAATAAAAAATGTACATGAGTCCTGGGCCCTTCTGGAAAATGGGCTGAAAGTGAGATGGCATGCCCTGAGGCATCCAGAAGGATACTTGACACAAATACACACCAAGTTTGGGTTACTCGCTACTAAATTTGTAGTGATTTTTATAGGAATAAGATATGTTGTGTATTGGGAAGTAAGAAGGTGCTTAGGTTGATAATGCCTGAGTTTCAAAGGTATACGAACATTAAGAAGCAAGCGTGGATGGGGGGATGCTCAGCTGTCACCTTCCTTGCTGTGGATAGCAGAGGCCTCTCTTTTTACGTGTGCTGCCCATCTGCAGCTGCCAGTGCCTGCATTTGTTCAAGGTCACTGAAATGATCATGAGATACTCATGCAACAACCGTGGCCTTGACACACACCTTAGAGCAATTTTACTTCTACCGCTCTTGTGACGAGTGTGTGGTGTCTAACTGCTTTCCTCACGTGTGTTTGCTCACAAACGTTCTCTCACCTTTCCCTTTCCATCACGTGCAATATCCATGAATCATTTGTTTTTCTAATCTATGTGCATTTTCTGCAACTGTCCCTCTTCTAAGAAAGACTATTCCTTTTTCTTAAAGTCTTAAAGAATGGAAGCTAATCAGTATAAGGTTCCTGCTACATTATTAAAAAATAAGTAAGTAAAAATACTCATCTCCTAGCTGGAGCAGGAAGGGTAAAGAGCATTGGCAACAGTTGTGCCTGTATCACTGTGTTTTGCTGTCTGTGCTGTTGTGTTCAAGATGGCACCATCGTATGTCAGATGTCAGGAGTAAATTTATAATTTATCGGGAGAGCTGCAAAGTTTCTTAGCAAGTGTACAGCTAGAGTGTGCTGACTAGAGTAAACTCAGTATGAAGTTTTTAAGAAATTGAAGACTTACAATGTTGAAAGCATCCATAGTTTAACCAACTTGCATGGTGCTTCTGGAGTTGCTAAGACTTAAAACCTCAATTTATCATTTTGATGGAGGTAGATGTCAGTATTGAGGTAAATTTTTTTTCATATAAAGAAGCAATTGTGATGACATGTGCATAGATAATTGTATCACTTATTTTTCTGATTTTTTTCCTTCTAAGGTTTTTTTGCTCTTTTTTGCTATTATTGTGTTGGTGTGTATATACGTAAGTGGTGTGACTAAATCAATGGTGCCTCAAAAATTAGGCAGGTATTATCACACTTAATACGTGTACAGTAGCAAAAAAGCAAAGCTGTATAGAAGAACTTAAAGTTATTTTCAGCATACAAATGAAGGGGGAGATACTCCTAACATATTTTGCTCTGGAAGTTCATAGCTATATACTTGGTTTTCATTAGAACCTTACTTAGCAAAAATATACTATCTTGTAGAAATTCTTATTTTCAGATAAATTGAAGCCTGTTTCTTTTCAAGCTATGAAGTTACTCTACCAAGTAGAATCAAGTTTTGCACCACAGTACGCAAGATTTAGAAATCTAGATCAAACCACTGACAAGAGTTGATTTGTTGGAAATGCATCAATAACTTCTTGTATTTTTTCTTTATTTTCTAAAAGACATGATATTACCGAAACTACAGTGCCTGTATGGAAAAGGGTGCTTAGCTTGTAATCTATATATTTGTATGGGGTTAAAATAAAGTCTGTTTTAATAAAAACTAATTTAGTAACTTTGTCTAAATGGAAATCAGTTTTCATTCTCCCCTGAATAGAAATACCTATGTGAAGATATGTTGTGTAATAACAAAAGCAACTATTTAAATGATTGTCTTTCTGAAATATTATTTGTAAATAGTTGGAAAATGAGTACTTGAGTTGGTTATATCTTGCAGTGTGTGATTTCTTAGTTCTCACCACTTTGCAACCTTTTCAGTTTCTTGGCAGTACAGAAGTGGAGCAGCCCAAAGGCACAGAGGTTGTTAGAGATGCTGTTAGAAAATTAAAGGTAAGGAAGCATTTGTAATGAAATAGAACATATTTCTATTCTCTTACATGACATAACACACAAGAAAACAACTGTTTTCAGGTAAATATGTAGGAGTTCTAGAAGAAGTTGCACTAATAATCTCTTCACGGGATGTGGGCACTTCTCCATTTTATCTGTATTTTCAGATCTTTTTTGTTGTGCAAAGATTTCATTGTTCCTTATAATGCACTGTTATTTCTGGTACAAAATTTATGTACCTTAATGCTTAGTACTTTTTCCTTTTAGAAATTTTAGGACCTTGTTAACCCCAAACTAGGTAGCGACAGTTGTTTTAGCTGCCCTTCTCCCTTTGCTGTTGAATGCCTGTGGTGTTAGATGGCTGTGGTCGGACGGCAGAACACTGAAGGAACCAAACCTTTCCTTGGCCTGGTAACTAGCAACTTCACTCTACCTGGCCTGGTTGTCCCTGGGCTATGGGGGCTTCCTGGGAAGAATAAGGTGGTTTGACTTGGTGCACCCAAAAGCAGACGCCCCTGATCTGGGAGAACTGCCTGTCAGGTGAAGGTCTGTGGCACTGGCATGAGCGTCATTCATCCCCTGACTGTGCTAGTCAGTGTTGTATCTTCAAACACTCTTGCCAGGAGAGAATAAGGTTTAAAAACATATATTAATATATTTATGGCACGGGACATTACTGCCTTGCCACCCAGGTATCGGGCTTGCATGTACAAAAGCTGTCTGTGGGAATGGGTGCCCGATGCCAAAAGCCTCAGAAAATCCAGCCTTAACAACTGCTGCCCAGTTCCGTGCTGGTGGGCACTGCAGGACCTGGCAGGGAATGAAAACATATCCCAGCGAGAAGGCCGAAGGTGAATAGGCTCATGCTATTCCAATGCTTGGTCTCAGTCCTTGTGTGCTACTGCTTTCTAATTTTGGCCAGGGTGATGAGAAGTCATTGATTTTCATGTACTGCTGTTATAAGTTTTCTTTTACCAAGCCATTTCATCAACATAGGTCAGAACAGACAATTGACCTACAGCTCTTTATTACTCTTAATTAGAAACTTGCAGCTCAAACACTACAGAGAACTTTTTGCTTGCCAGAAGAGCTAGCTTTTGTGCAATATTTTTTCTCACAGCTTTATCAACTTATTTTTACCGGTAGGTGGAGCTGATGTTCTACAGTAAGATAAAGTAACTTAGAAGAACTAAGAATTTTCTTAACTTTTCAAATTCATTTTTTATCCTAAATACTGGTAGTGTGTTTTCTAAGCACACTGGGTCAGCTGCAATTAAAATACACAGTTTAAAGAATCTAATTTATTCCAGAGGTCTGCTCACAGGGTTTTATGCAGGCAGTGTTTTCCTCATGTTTTTAAATTTGAGGGTTGTAATGCAAAATATAGAAATAGAGAAGAATATGTGGCAGAAACATTTTAAAGTGTGCATCTTTATTTCTAAGATAACTTGTCAAGTTCTAGTAATTTTTCCTTCCAATTTTCTATCAAACTAATTTGTAGAATGAAAAAACAAAACACTGTATGGAATATGGCATTAAGGCAATCCTAGAACATGGAGGTATAGAAGCTGTCAAATCACATTTTGTAAAGTGAAGAGAGTGTTCCTCTTAATTGAGGGAGAATTTAATTCACTCTGAAGAAATGAAGTTTCAGAGATTGTCATTTCATTAAATGCATATAACATACATGACACTGTAATATGACCTAAAAGATGCAGTCACGGCAAAAGAAACAATGTCTTCAGCCATATGTTCCCAGGGCAAAATAGAGAAAAAGTGTTTTCCTTAAGCCAGGTAGAAAACATGAGAGTTAATATGCAAATGTTAAAACTTGGGAGAGAACATCTGTTTTATGTCCTGATGTAGTCCCTGCTCTTGAATACTTTTACTATTTTTGTGTTACAAATAACTAGTTTCACTGTTTCATGGGTTATCGTATGAGGATAAAGATATTTGTTCTAGCTAATGTGCCATCTAACTAAAATAAAAAGCATTATTTAAAAAAAAAAAATCTGTAGGCTACAGGAGCACTCTTGCTCAGCTACTGCAACTATGATAGCCTCAAACATCTTCAAAGATTTTTCCCGTGCATTGACATGACTGATTTCTAACTGGAAGTCCAAGCAAAGGAAAATAATTGAACCTTTATTCCTTGGGCTAAAGGTTAGCAATCAAAATCCAAAAAGGTTAGTACCCACATCACAGGAATCTATTGCTTTGAGCTTCATGTTTGCTTAACTTCTTAAATTGTACAATGGAAAGTAATTATTAAATAAAATGGATTATGGTTTACTAATGCTTGATGCATAAGTACTGCAAATATTATTTGCAATAAGAATGTGAAAGCATGTGTTCTCATGTACAGTGATAAACCAGAGATTACATGGTAATTTTTGCCTTTCTTCCTTTTTCCTTTTTTTTCTGTGTTTCATTTTGAAGCTAAATGAAACCATAAAAGATAGATTTATTTGCATGTATTGGTTCCCCTAGAATATTTGGGCAAAATACAATTTATTCTAGAGCAATCAAATAAAAACTAATTCATACCACTGAACTGCTTGTATTACTGGGCCGAATCTGTGTCTTGCCTGAGAACAGTGTGTATGTATAAACTAACAGTTTAAGAATTTGGCCCCCTGTGTCTCTTCCCATGCCATAGTGTGATTCATTACAATTTTATATTCACATCTATTATTCTTGCATATCTTAGATCCAAGAATCGAATGTCTCCAAGTTCTCAGTATTCCTCCTCATTGTCCATTTTTATGCCAATGGGAGGCTACAGATTTTTACCCTCTTAAATAATGATGTTAGTGGGTGGACTACAAATATTTTGTTTCACATGTGTGCTAAAAGAAAATAACTTTTTAGTTTTGTTCTCCACCTCCAGAGGTCCCTCAGAGTCCTCTTCAGGTAGAAGGAGTGTGTAGCACTAACAGGGAAAGTGGCAGATATCTGAGTAAGGGTTAGGATCTGCTGTACAGACCTAGACAAGTTAGGGAGATAGATGATTTTGACATTCTGTAGAAGGTCAGATATTAAATTACTATTTCATTACTGTATGTTTACTGTTCTTACCCAGAACACAGGTTTCATTGAGCAAATCTTTTTGAACTGGAAGTGGGCAGAAAATGCATTTAAGAACAAAACAAACAAAAAACTGTACAAGACTTTTTGAGTTTATCTTTGAGTTTATTTACACTTACTTTTCAGCCACTGGGTCCTGCTAAACGTCTGATTTTAATGCTTATTTCTCTCTCTGATTGTCTGTACTTAAGAGAGTCTTTTGAGAATCTTTTTCACCATCATCTAGTTTTTCCTTAATCACACTTGCGAAGCTAAATTTCTTATGGAGTGGGCTGCCAGTCCTTTGCCAACTCTTGCAAATGTCCCATGAGCTTTCTACAATTTGTCAGCATCCTTCTGAATTTCAACATCTCAGAACATGAAATTTGAGCGATGGTCCCACCAGCAACTGTATTCTCTGGTCGACTTTCTTTTTGAAATAAGGGTTTGAGAATATTGCATTAGTCTTCCAATCAGAGTGTTATGGTTAAAAGCCTGCCATGACACTCATAATTCCAACTTCATAGTCTCCCAGGAAGGAAACTTTTTTCTCTCCCATTAGTGTAATTTAGAGAGGCTGGTATTGCAACAGAAATGATTTGTTTGCCTACAAGCAATCTGTTGTATTCTGGCTTGCTGGCATAATCTTTGCTTGCCACTTTAACAGCCTTTATCGTCTGTAAGCTATTCTCTGTAATGGTTTCAGATTTTACTACAGATCATTAGTTACTTTTCTCCCATTTTTTTTTTCAATCTTAATATTTCAGCCCACAGATTTTATTAGTAACTACTTTTCTCATGATCATTGTTCTGTCATGCTTGAGAAATAAACTCTGCTGGAATAAATTAGAAACATATCTTCCCAATGACAGTTTCCTGTTTATAACTGCATCTGGAGACTAATGCAGCTAACTTAACTAATACTTTCTTTATATTGCTTCATTTCCTAAATATAATGGCATGCAATACACGGTTAAATACCATGTCTATTTTTACAAGCTGCTTTTTTCATAAAAATATGTATTGATCATCATTAATTTTATGTTCCTTAAATTTGCTGCTTCTTGGACTTCCTTTATGTTGTTAGCGTGTGGAAGTGTAGTAAGGTTGTTTTAGTGGGTGCGTGTGTGTACGTGTTTTTTTTAATATTGGCACAGACTTTTTTGCTGTAACTTCCTTAGTATTATAAGACTTGACTACTTGGAGCAAGCTTTGTCCAGCTGTTCTAAACCTCTTGCAGACCTTGTTATTTAAAAATATCTTCAGTGTTGTAGCTGTTGTTCAAGCCCCTGATGTGTTGGTTACAGTTAGAATACCAAGCATTCCATCATCATTTTCAACGTATGCTAAGGCTTTAACTCGCTAAGGACGAGTATATATTGAATAGTTCTCCCCCTTGTATATTACTGTATAGAAATGCCTGTACACATCTCACTTCCAAAGGGGGCTGTCTTGAGGAGTTAAGAACAAGACAAGTCAAATGTAGCAGCTAGAAAAAGGGGGTAGGAAAGGATGGAAGGGTGTAGTAAGTGGGACAAGTAAGATGTCATTAAATGTCTATCCATCATTTAGTGAATTGTCAATAGATAAATTAGGAGAATAGGGTGATGGAAGGTACCAAATATTTCTTAGGTGTTCACATCTGTAATGCTTTCAAACTGAACCTGCTTAAAAAAATTTTGTAGTGTAATACTTGATACACACTCTCGATGCACATTTGCAGAAATAAATATAGAATTTTAAAATTTAAAATTCCTTAGCTGGATCTCAATACATTTATCTAATATTTTTGCCCTTAATTTAAATCTTGCATCATGTTTCTAGGAGGACAGCAGAAATACAAACACCTATAGCCTTTGTTAATTACGTAAGTTTTGCAATGAATATGATTATTTTTCATATCCTAAGTAATTTTAAAATGTTCTTAAGCATAGGAGTATTTTACAGTACACAATAAGAAACTGTGTTTGTCCCTTCACTACATTTCGGAATGGTTGGTATAGTTTATTAAAGCAATTTGAAGGAGGAAAGAAGCAACTTTTGTTTGGAACACTTAGGAGGAAATAAGTAATGAAAAATAAAGAAAACTCATAGTAATATGACTGCTGTTTTGCTTTTCATTTCATTGAGTAGTTTGCAAGACATATCAAGAAGTCTGAAGGCCAGAAAACTCCCAAAGTTGAATTACAAATCTCAATTTATGGTGTAAAAATTCTAGACCCCAAAACAAAGGTAAGAAACACATTTTTTGTGCTGTTAAACCACAATTAAAATTGTTTTAACTAGCTTTTTTTATAATTTTCTACTTTAATAAGCATTACAGTGAAAACAAATTTGCTGATGGAAACTTGTAAAATGCTACGTCATGTTATAACATATGACTCGTATCTTCTTGAGAAGATACATGATGTGCAACCCCTAAATGAGTTAGACTAAAGCCAATGGTCGATTTTACTTTTTTAATTTTTCATCTTTCACACCAGTATTTTTAAATGAGGAAGATGAAAATACTGTGGCAATTGCATACTGTTATGTATGGCACCTTTCCAAATGGTCACCATGATGTAGGGTGCCCCCACAAAGATGTTTTCAGTGAACGAGGAGAAAACTCATTGGTAGTGATTCCTTATTTGTGCTGCTGGTTTGGAAATGCGCCTGCCTTTCATTAACTTTTTTTTACACTACTGTTTTTGAATTTGATTACTGTATCCGATCTTCCTTGGAAAGCTCATGTTTTCCTGCTGTGTTACTCATTTGCCTGTAAGCTTCATTTATAGACACATGCTATGCGTGTCATCTCTTGGTTGGTTTTCTGTTCGCTTTGATCTTTTGGAAGGTGTTAGATGCCAAGCAAGCCATCTTCCTGAGACAAATAGAAAGTTAAAGCTAAACTTCCACACTTTTCCTGCAGAAAAAATGGGAGACCAATTCCTGGGCAATAAGAACAGGCTAATCTCTTGGCAGTGCTGTTATTACAGTTGTAGACTGTGATCAAGTGCAAGCAGCCACACAGAATCACAGAATGGTTGAGGTTGGAAGGGACCTCTAGAGATCATCTAGTCCAACCCCCCTCTCTGGACAGCCTGTTCCAGGGCTCTGGCACCCAGTAAGGAAATTCTTCATGTGTGTGTGTTTTTTTTTTTGTTTTTTTTTTTGTTTTTTTTTTGTTTTTTTCTCTGCTGCTTGAAGTTGCATGTAAAATTAAATTTAAATTAGGTTTTGATTTTCTATTCAGCAAAAGATGGTTTTGAAAATGTATGCAATGGTCTGACACTGAGAACATACTGAGTGCATTTCCTATAAAAGAGCTATCCTGAAATGAGCCAAGAACCCAGTTGTACTCTTTTTAGTATCAGGTGGCCGTAACACAATCTATGGGCAGTGATGAAAATTTTAAAAATCCTTTAGGAAATGTCTTAAATTCTGTATTATCCTCATAGTTGTGTGCTTTTTTTTTCCCCTGTGTATGTTGCTTCTGTTTTGTTACAGAGCAATGACTATTGAGATGACCAATAAGATGACTATTAGTTGTAGTAAGAGCAGGAGGTTATTCAAGTGTCAGGATTTTGTTTCATACTCAACACAAGGAAAGCAAGGGAATAGGGAAGTGGTTCTGCCTGTGAATGATGGAGCAGTTACTTTGATCTATGGACTTAAAGAGCAAGAACAAACATGTTACTAGCTGAAACTGTATGAAAGAGCTAATTAAGTGCAAGAGATATGGGGGCTTGGGAGAAGAATGATGCCTAGATGAATGGCTGTAAGTATTGAGAAAGGGAACTGAATGGGGGAAAGAGGAGGAGGAGAAGATTGGCCATAGAGAACAATTTTTGAAAAATTATTGTGTGTAGAGCAGACATGCCCTCAAGATTATAGCAGACTGTAGCAATCCCAGATCGTGGAAACATTTGCAATCCTGGTGATACACAGGAACATTTTTAATAGATAATAGCTCAAATCCAAACTGCATATTTTTCTTTAAAGCAAATACTGCTTTCCCATGTAATAAGCCAAATTAAATACCAAGAAGAGACTTGCTGAGGAAAAACAAGGAGAAGTAGTTCAGATTATTCACTTCAGCTTGCTTAGCTAAAGAACATTATGGTTGCAACATTTAAAAATATCTGGAGCATGTCTTTTAATGGAAAAGAAAATGTCTAAGGTATCTCAAGTATGCAAACAAAAATGATAAAATTGTTTATATTAGTTTTTAAAGCAATTAGTTAGGTTTCTGATTTATTTCTTTGTGCTTCTGTGTTAGTATAGTCAAGTTGCTTTATTTCTCTTCCCTGTATTTAAGGAAGAAAGGTAAGACCTGATTATGGTAGGACTGCAAACCCTAGGAGATTGATAAAATGTGAAGATGGAATGCACCTGGAAAAAGATCCAAGTATTTTACACAATCAATCCTCAATAAATAGCACAAGGACCCAGAGCAACAGTAAAAGTCTTTTGCTAAAACAGAAATAAATGTCCAAATAAACCCTTCAAACTAAAAACTTCCTGTTTACATTCGTTAAATAGGGGAACAATTTTTAGAGGAGGAGATGTTGTTAGTTTATATTATATTTGTAAGTATATTTGGGTTCTCTAGTGTATAGTGAGACACACTGAAGTGTTACGGCAACTTGTCCCTTCTTTTGTATGTGAAAAAATAAGAGACTAATATGCTCATCGTTATCCCAAGTATATATAATAATTCTTTAGTAATTAGTAATCTTTCTGTTTATTTGCAGGAAGTCCAGCACAATTGTCAACTCCATAGGATATCATTTTGTGCTGATGATAAAACTGACAAGAGAATATTTACATTCATTTGCAAAGATTCAGAATCAAATAAGCATTTGTGCTATGTATTTGACAGCGAAAAGTGTGTAAGTATGCAAGATGCTCTGGAGGAATTTGGGTCTCTAGTGTAGACAGACATGGATCTGTTTTCAGCTAAAGGGGGCTAGATAATCAAATCAAATAGCCCTCCTGCTGACAGCCATTGGCGTGACATGATCTTTCACACCAGAGTGATGCATTGCAAATTAGATGGATTAATTAGAAAGGTTTTCCTTTTTTTCCCCTGAGAGGACTTTTCTTATTGCCCAGCTCCGTACCCCAAGGCAACTTTGAATTACTCTTACAGACTGTATCCCACCAAACTTGAGATGTTTGTGCAGCTGTTCTGCAGCGAGGCTGCAACGCAGGGACTACGGTACCCTGCAAAGCTCTTCCGCTCCTGCCTCTGCCTCAGACCCTCAGCTGGGTGGGATTTTGGGGGGTGTTTTTTTGTTTTATTTTATTTTTTTCTTGATCGTAATGCTCCTCTGTTCTTCCCACTCCCTTCCCTGCCCCAAGTCTCAGGTTTATTAATGCCCCTATGCAATACAAGGAGTTCATTTCACCCACCACTGGAGTTTGCTCATGTCTGGTAGAGCAGGGGAACTGAAATCCAGAGAAATGCCATAGTAGAAAAAAATAGTATTTGAGTACAGGAAACGATGAAAGTCATGTCTGGCTGAAACAAGGCTAGGAGTTCACTCTGGAAAATAATTAACACTGAAGAAGGTGCATATTTACTGTAGTATGCCCATGTACTATATATCATTGCATATTACTTAATAGATTCTTAGATTACTTAATAGATTCAGTAGTTTGCGTGTTTCTTATGATTTTAGTTGTTCATCTGTGCTGATCCAATGCCAACTTCAGTAAATATTGTTTGAGAATGGTTGAATTTTCATAATTTTAAGTACTTGGGTAGATAAATACATTTCTCTACATTTTGATAACTGGTATGCTGTAAGAATGCTAAAACCAAAATTTTGCTGAAATCCAAATTTAGAGCAAAACAGACAAGGCTGAGCATCCATTAAAATTGAAGCCATGTGTACAGCTATAGAAAAGGCTGTAGCTGCATCAGAAAATGTCAGGGAGATTTGCAGCAGCATGCTCTCTGTATGCATAGAAATTGGAGGCATAATTAGTATTAAGAATTAGCTAATGATATTTTGCCTGTTTTCCCCTCTTTGTGTAGAGAATTCTTCAGTTGCATCTCTAGTGTATTTTATGTCAGGTTATTTTGCTGAGCTGTGATTACCATGCTCGTTTGTAGTCTTGACTTTAACGATGGATGATGTAGTTGCTTTGAATGTGGCACATCCTGTAAAATATTTGGGGATCCTCTGGAAAGAAAGTAAATGCATACTTTATTCTTAATATGCTAATTTCCATCTTTTGTTTCATGTAAAGGCAGAAGAGATCACCTTAACAATTGGTCAAGCATTTGACTTAGCTTACAGGAAATTTCTGGAGTCTGGAGGAAAAGATGTTGAGACAAGAAAGCAAATTGCAGGTTTACAGAAAAGAGTAAGTTCTACAAAATTTTTCAAGAGGAAAAATATGTTCTATTGTATTTGTGTGCTACTTTTTGCAGCAGTGTGATTTTCAATGCTATTCTCAAATTGCTAACAATTTCAACACGTTCTGAAAATTGAAAAGGAGCTATAAAAAAAAGTGCCTTTTGTTCATCTTACGTAATTGCTGAAGAGAAAAGCAAGGCTGTACTATGGAAGACTGAGAAACTTGTTTAAAATACTTTTTGTAATCGGGTAACTATTTAGGCATTACTATTAAATCAGCAGAATTAATATAAAACTTATTCTCAAGGAACGTTTAGTAGCTACTATTAAAATGAATGAATATCCCAATAGCTATTGAAATAACCACTTGCTTTGTAGATTCAAGAGTTAGAAACTGAAAACTCAGAACTGAAAAATAAAGTTCAAGATTTGGAAAATCAGTTAAGAATAACACAAGTACATACATCTCCAGTAAGTACATGAATATAACTTTTATAGTTGACATTACTCTAAACTTATGATCATTGATGTTATAATTGTTAGTATTCCTGCTATTTCTAATGATTATGATTAACACACAGTGATCATGTATCAGATGAAATGCAGTGCTGAAGTAACAGTAAGGTTGTGGCAAGCCAACAGAAGCACAAGTTGCAGTCCTTCAAGAAATTGATTTCCTAATCCTCTTATGATATTTAATTGTTGGTACCTAACAACAGTCAATGCTTGTTTTTTAGAAACAGCTAAGCAAATTAACAGGATGAAGAACTGTGTTTTGTATTTATAGGATCTGAATAAATAATAACTTTAGGGCTTTTGAATATTGGAATTTTAAGAACTTCTTGTCACAAGCATATCGTTACTTATACCTTCGTTTTTAACCACAGAGCTTTTATTTTCCATGATATGTGTCTACGTGGTATGCTGTTATGTTATGCAATTCTGGCATCTAACTTGCTAGTGAAAAATACTCTCAGAAATGAATTAGTATAATTACAATCTCTCACCATTTAATAAAATAATTCATTTTATTAATTCATTATCAGGAATTAGTGTTCACATATAATTCTTATATTACTTACTGTTTAACCTTTATAAAAATCAACCCTCTCCTATCTCAATTTTTGAGTTTTCACATGCTTAGGCTTATACTAAGAACCATCTGTTAGCCTGTTAGTACCTCAGCTTATTGGGACATACAATAGACCTAGATAAATGAGATGAGTAAATATTGAGGCAGGTCTGTAGTGACTGAGGAATCTCTATCCTTGGAGTTATTCAAAACCTGATTTTTTGTGATCCTCAGCAACCACTTCTAATTGCATCTCCTCTGAGCAGGAAATTAGACTAGATGATCTCCCAAGATCCTTTTCAACCTCTACATGATTCTTTGAATTGTGCAGCCAATGATAAAAATAAATGTTTTCAGGAATATAACTTTCTCAGTTCATCCATAGGAACATAATCATGAGTTGCCATGTTCTATTAACTTATGAAAAAACATCATTGAAGTAGATCTGTTTTAAATTGTGCCGTGTAAGTGGTAAATCAGAGTTTTAATTATATTAGCATGAGTAAACATATCTAAGTCAACCAGGTAGGTTGAGTATAAAAGTAAGAGTAATGTGGAATAGCATAACTGTGAAATGGTTTTCAGCTCAGCAAAGGGAGAACATACCTATGTTTAAGATAGTTTGATTGGTTTGCTAAATGGACCGTATGTTGGGGTTCATATATGCAGTGTATATGATTTGATGATGCATCTCAACATCTTTATATTGAAAAGACATTTCTTCTTTTGCCTGAAAATGGAACTAAAGTTCAAGTGTTCTGATTCCCAGATCATTTTCCAGTTAAATGCTAGATTGTATCTCATGTTTGGATTTCATAGTCTCCCCTCTTTCCATCTGAGAATATGCCAGTGATATTTCTAGGGGTTTTTTGCTTTTGGTTTTTAAGCTTTCAAGATGGGCAGTCAAAACTCTTATTGCAGAGTTGACTTCAATATCAAAAAGCAATAGTTTGAGAGGATCTGTAAGCTGTGGAGGTAAAAGTATAGTGTGTGTATATACTGTGTATATATATAATCAAATATTTTGCTCACTGCTTTTCCAAAAAACTCCTCACTTCTCCCTCACTTCTAAACAGATACAACTAGGTTGTCATAAAGTAAACTTTTCTGGCTTCCTATTGTCATTTAAAACAGTCTTCATAACTAAGTACAAAGATGTATGTTACACGCATTTGCTGAAATTCATATTCAAGATCAAATGCAATATGGCCGAGAGTTAAAACTTTGATCTTCATTACTTCCATATTATTTTAAAGATGTTTGGTCCAAATATGCTGCTTTATAATTCTCAAGAACATAGTTAAAAAATGTAATTTTCAATAACAAATTCCATATTCAAGGCTAGACTGCAATATTGGAAATTACTGTTGGAGATTTACCTCTCTAAAAAGAGATAGACAGGGGTTCATATATTGAGCTCTTCAGTAATGATGCGGAACACTTTATTGTAAAACACAGTTTTCAATAAATTCTCAGTTTTCAATTAAATCTTAATTTGTAGTTACCTGTCATCAGAATGTTCCCAAAGAAAACTAGATGCTCACGCATGCAAAATCCATCAGGAGTCAAAATAAGCAAAAAAAAAAAAAAAAAAAAAAGTGCAAGCTCTTTGTGTATTATAAGCCAACACTTTATTTTAAACAGTTCAAAATATTTTGAATAATTGACTGTTACACATGACAGAACATTTTTTGACCTGGAACATCCACCACCAGTTGTTTTCATTGCATTTCTTTTTCTTAGGCAATAATAATAAAAGCAATCGCTCTGTTATTAAGAAGGAGAAAATATGCTCACATGTGTAAACAGTAAAAAAAAAAAAAAAAAAAAAAAAAAAAAAAGGGGGGGGGGGGGGGGGGGGGGGGCCCGAGCACCTTTGCTCTCTATGGTTCAGAAGTAGTGTTAGTTATACGAATGTTTGGGAAACAAATGTCTCATGTAATATAGAACTGATTTCCTGATTGTCCTTACCATACTGCTGATCTTTTTGCAGACCATGTAATTATGTTGAGGACTTATTTTAAAATACTGGCAACTTGAAATGGGTATAAAGTATATGCATGAAAAAATGTTATATTACAACACTTAGAATTCTCAAACAGTCTTATTGGGATAATTTTAGACATTCTTGTAGTATTGCTCTTCCTCAGGACTTTAAATATACACTAACTCAATCCCATGGTGCTAACTTTGAAAAAATAACTCATTGGCTATTCAATTTAATCTGAACAAGTGCTGAGTAAAAACTAAGAAAATCAGTAACACTTTGTCCACATCTAACTTCAAAGGCTCCTGCATTTGCACTTTACACTAGTTTGAAATATGTGTATTTTTAATGTACTTTTTTTTTTTTTTTTTTTCTGATGTCTAAGTGGCTGCAGATATTGAAAGCCGTAGGCTTCTGCTTCTGAGGGGTGTTTTTGCTCCCACGACCAAAATGTTTCTGTGGTCGATTTAAACCTCATCAAATGACCATGCTAACCTCAACCTAATATAATTACTCTTTTTTGTCAAAACATAAACTGTGTATGGGAAAAATAAAATTTCCTTCTAAATCTATAAAAGAAATCATTAAAACCAATGAGAACATAGTTGGAACCACAAAAAAGACAGCTAAGTCTTATAATCAAAAGCTGTAGCATAAAATCTATCGGGAAAGTTAAAATACCAAATTATGAATCTTCCTTTTCTTTTCTGTTGGATTATTACAATAATTTAGGTTTATATTTATACAGTATGTTCTGTAAATAATTCCTTAGTGATGTTTTTGGCGTTATGTTTCAGTATTGCTAGTCTAGCTAAAATTCTTAAAAGTTGGCCACTAAAATATATATATTTGCCAGTGAAGATGGCTTATTGAATAGAAACTGTTGCCTTTTTTATCATTTCCTGTCTAGATTTCTGAAGGGCATGCTGTATCAAAATGTGGTTTCCTTAAACCTTTTTGCCTTTATAGCTACACTTATGTTTGGCATAGGAACTGTTGGCATGGGATGTTTTTTGCTTTGTCTCTCACTCCTTTGGATGTACAGCTAAAGTTTCCATTACTTTTCTATCTGTGCTGTTTATTTTTCTCTGTTTTAGTGGTTTGGCAATACATTAATCACTGGTCTTTCTTGCATTTGGTCTTCATTATGTAGGGACAATCTGATTTTCATTTGATTTTCTCATAATGAGTCTGTTCAAGTCTGTATCACAATAAAAGTATGAGTACTGCCCTGCCTCTAAATGGAGCCTGCAAAGTTCAGTGCATCCCTGGAAGAACTAGTTTACATGACCTCTTATTTTGGTGTTCAGTGACATTCAGCATATTTTTACTATTGGTCTTATTTAGAGTTTCCTAGATTAGAAGACTGGTCTTATTTTGAGGTCTTAGCTGTACACCCAGCCTTTGTGTGGGTTACCAGTTGCATACAGTTAGCACCATCAGTTTTTCTAGCAGAAGGAATAGTAAATCATCTTTGGTCACTAATAAACCTCTACTGAGACGAGAGAGATTTTTATTTATTTATTTGAGGAATGGTTGAAGTTTCTCAAGCATTCCTTGAAAGCTTTCTCTTTGAGTGAGATGGTTAAGCAAGGAAGGAATTTGTGACTACTGCATGGGTCCACCTTCAGATAGGAGAGACAAAAAGCAAAAGGAATTTTCAGGAAGTAGAAATCAAAGGCAGTAATAAAAAGTAGAGAAAATGGTAGGGAGAGAGAGAAGAGCCCAAAAGGAACTGTGTTCCTTCCCTAACCATCAGTGTCAAAGATTTCAGCTGCTCTTTTCTTTTTGCTTTTGTGGAAGGGTGGGAGGGTTCACTTTCTAGTTGCTTTGAGATCTTCACACAGATTCTGAAGGAACAGATCATCTTCTCAAGTAGATGTATGTATTCACATAACTCAATCTGCCTTATTGTGTCAGTGTCAGAAAAAAAAAAAACATTTTTAGCAGTCGTAGAGCATTAAAGATATTGGTTGATTAGGTTTTTTTCTTAGTGATACACAGACATAGGTCACCTGTCCAAAAAAAAAAAAAGAAATGGAAATTGCTCATGTTAAGTTTCGTGTTATTGAAAAAGTATTAAATGAGTTGAAGATATATTTTTTTAATATAGTTACTAATGCTTTTACGTTAGTTTGTGAATTAATCACCTAATAACATGATTAGTCCCAAATCTTAAGTAGCTTATGATCACTAGTTTTCTAACTAGTTGCATAATTCGTTCTAGGTGACAGTTTACTTTTGTAGTTGGCTGTTACTGTGTTCCCTACTTGAATATTGTAAGAAAAACACCAAATTGTTTGCCCACTTACGTTGTTACTATTGGTATATGACAAAGCGATTAAACGCAGTGTCTTGAGACACTTTGTTAAAGCCATTTTTAAAATGATTTTTTGTTAAGAAACTCAATCA